AAGCCATATAACACCAGGCACCACAGGTAATTCAAGTGCCAGGTTATTAGACAGAGGGGTGTCATGTGACATCAACCTGCCCAGTGTATTAATAAATGTGCTGCTGCAGTTGAGCATTTCCTTTCCTTCCATCTGGAGAGAGGGCTCTGCCTGACTCCAGTCCTCTATATCTTGTCTTCATTTCTTCACCTTCTTGCTGCCCTTCACAGTCCTCACCAAAGGAAGTTCAAAAGCTGTGAAGACCATGGCAACATGGTAGGTTTACAGTTTGAACTTTCTCCTAATCTAAATTTAAACTAAATTTTACAATGTAGGTATGTTAAAGGTTTGATTTTTATCCCTGACATTTTAACCCTATCATCCACTATCTCCTTCTCATTAGAGAATATATATATATATTTGCTGTATGTATGTGTATATATGTATATGTGATTATATATAGTTACTGCATACACAATCAAACTTTGACATCTGTAAGGGATTGGTTCCAAGACCCCCACGAATACCAAAACTCACAGATGCTCAAGTCCTTGTTGAGCTAAAATAAATTTGGCTTCAATCAGTCCACTATATATGAACAATAAATATGTTCCAAGATGACCTGCACATAGTAAACTATTTTGATGTGTAAACAAATTGTAACTTAATTTAAGAGTATAGTCTTGTAACCAACCAAGTCTCAGCCAATCATAGCAGCAGAACTTTCAGCTAAAAAGAGGCTGAAATTTGCCAAAACATGAAAACATAAAGGCAAATGCCAACTGCACCCAGTCAGATGGTTTCAGTATATCAGTTCCTTTCCTCTGGGTACAAATATATTTTAAACATATATTTATAGAGATAGAACATCCTGAGCTCTTTCATCTAGAATTTTGCCTAGTTCTAGAAACTTCTTATGCAAATAAACTTTATAAATTTAACTAGTCTCAACTGTTTCTTTAATACTCATATACAATGGTGCAGTAGTTTCCCATGACCTAATACATTACATCTAGTTTAAATTATCTCTAGATTACTTATAATACTTAATACAATGTAAAATATATAAATTCATGTCCTGCTGTATTGTTTAGAAGATAATGATAAAATGTCTTGCACATGTACAGATGTAATAACTTTTGAGATATTTTCAATCCACACTTGGTTGAATCAATAAATGTTAAATCAATAAATGCAAAGTGTGAAATGTATATATTTAAATTCCATTTCATGCAGTAAAATTATTTCACATTCTTTCTCATTATGGTATCATGTAGAGTAGTTTTCAAGCAGTTAGAATTTTGCAGTCTGATAGATATGATTCTTTTATAGGATCATTAAGTGGTACCTCAATGAAATTTTAACATTTTCTAATTAAAGTGGGAGAATTTTTAAATTATTAATAGTCATTTGTATATCTTTTTCATTTTTATGCATAGTTATTGGTTTTTCATTCTCTAATTTCATAGCTCATTGAGTATTATATACTAATGCTTTGTTTTATTTCTTTCATTAAAAATTAGGAAATTTGTATTCAGCATGCTATAATAGTCTTGTACTGTGATGTAAACTCAAATCTCTAATCCTGAAACCCAATATTCCTCATATTACACCAGAGATATGTACCGTAGTTCCATCAAATTATTAGCACTTTCCATGGAAGTACAAGCTGAGAACAATGTAAACAGTCAAATATTTCTTTTAATACAAAATATTTATATATGATTAGCTCCTATATTTTGTTGGTTATTATTCTATATTTTATAAATAATAAGGATTTAATGAACACAATATATTTCAAATAGTTAAAATTGATAAACCAGATTCTTTTATTTTTCATCTCTCTTTGTTTCTCTTAATCAAATAATGACCACATGGAAAATTACAAAATTTAAAGTATCAAACACGAGCTCTCTACTTGCTGTAGAAGATTTAATGCAAATAGGGAGAGATGGGCCTTACCCTCATTTATTAATGGAAAAGCTGAGATGATATTTACAAGCCGTAAGTTAAATAGTAAATTCTGTATATTGTATCTTTGCTGTGACTCAAGTAACGATTACTCCTTATATCCTCCCCATCTCACCAAATCCAAACGCTGGATGTAGAGCAATTAAGAGTTTGTGCATCTTTAACTCTGGCCAGACCAGCTTGGAGATTTTAAGAGCTCCCACTGAAATTCTGAACAAGTGTTTATTCCCCGAGTAGCAGCTGGTTTCTGCAATGCCATCCATGTAATCATTGAGTCAATCTATGTCTGCGTGGACAATATAAAGGCAAGGGCTCTGAAGGCTGTGCTCTCCCCTCCCACAGACATGAAGCACAAGACTGAACCATGTTCACCCGGGGGATCATCACGTCATATGTCACTCTTTGTAGTGTTCACCCTAGGGAATCATCACTCCCTGCAGAGCTTAGTAGAAAGGGTCTTAAAATCGTGTAACTTAATCCTCCTAATTTACATATAAAAAATAAGTCATTGATAGATGCAGTAAATTACCCAACTACACATTCTTAGGAGATTTGAATTTACGTTTTCTATTTCCCTGAATTTAGTTTTGCAATATTTTGCTTAGAATATATAGTTACAGAATAGTTTTGAGAAAGAAGAAAAGAAACATTTGGTTGGCAAGCTTTTGGGGTTTTTTTTGAAGTTTTGGAGCTCAGTTTTATTCACATTAGCTTTAAATTTTTTTTATTTTAAAGAGAGTAGTAAAAAAAGAACAACAGCAGCATACCAACATCACAGACATAAATAAAACAAAGCAGGAACATTTAAAGTGATACAGGGCTTCAAAACAAAATGATAGGAATTAACAGTGGTTATATTACATATTGTTATCTGCAACTACATTGCTCAGATTACCAGATGTAAGAATGGAAGATTGTTCAAACCATTAAAGAGAATAAGAAAATAATTGTTAGATAAAACATTAGAGATGATACAGAGCTTCACTAGACAAGATGGTAGGAATTCACCATGGTAGTTCCATTGCATATTATTGTCTTCAAATCAGTTGCTCAGATTACCAGATATAAGCATGAAAAAGTGGTCAAAATATAAAAGATTTTAAGCATTAACTGGGATGAGGGAAAAAGAAAAAAGAAAGAAGGAAGGAGATATATAGATATAGATATAGATATAGATATATAGATATATAGATATATAGAAAAAGAGAGAGAGAGAGACAGAGATGTAGATAGATAGATAGATATAGCTGGGATGCCTGTACTGCTGATGTCTGATGGTATATTGAAAGGAACAGTAGTTAAGGCAAGTTTTTAACAGTAAGACAAAAGGGATTCTGTCATAAATTTTAGACACATTATTTCAATTCACTAGCCAATGCACTTTGTAAAGCCTCAGATCTCTGTCAGAGAGGTTTTCACTGACCTGTCTGGTTACAATGTTGGAAGCATCGTATGTTACATAACTTTTCCTAGGGTCAGCATTACCATTTGTTGACATAAAATGTCTCATATTTGATTCATGTGAACTCAGAAAACAGGAAAAGTTTTATTTTTCAAATACTGTCTGAAAGTCAGGCAACTCCAGAAAATGTGTTTACTTATTTAATCATACTTGGAAAAGTATAATTCCTTCAGGTTTTACACAATGCATATTCATCAGCCTTTTAAAAATGTATCACATTGCTGACACAGAACAAAGGCCATTCCCAGTATCTTCCTAATTGAAGTTAAGAACTGAGAATGAGAAGTTGTATCTTTTTTTTCTGGACAACCTCCACTAGAAAATCTCTAGTCATTTTCCTTCCTCTGATTCTTATTTCCTAGTCACTGCAAGAGAGTAGAACCCACAAGCATTTCCACTATTGTGTTTCCACTAATAATCAATCAATCTTTCATCCACTATAATGTTATGGAGAGGTTGTCACTTCCTTTTCAAAACCTGTTGGAAGATAGCTAAGAAATTTAAAAGGTGTTTCACAAACTCAAGAGCAAATATTTGAATATCTTACTTTTATTTCTTTTATGATTTTTTTTTTTTTACTTCTAAGACAGATTGTTAGGAGATCCCTCAGCAAATTAGGTCTAAAGGTCCCATTCAACTCAACTATTCCCCTTCTGGGTATTTTCCCAGAAGATCTAAAAACATCATATCACAGTGATATGTGTGCACCTATGCTCATAGCAGCACAATTTGTAATTGCTAAATTGTGGAAGCAACACAAATGTCCATCCACTGAGGATTGAATAAGAAAATTGTGGTACTTTTATATAATGGAATATTATTCAGCTATAAAGAAAGATAAACTCAAGGCTTTTATAGGTAAATGATCACAACTAGACACCATACTCATAAGTGAAATAAATCAGACCTGCATGTGCAAGCACTGCATTGTCTCACTATTGTAAAACCTGAAAGAGTGAAAAAAACTAGGAGGTATGATAAACATTGTGAAAAGAAAGGAAAATGCTCAAGGATAAAGAGAAACTGGGATGTGGGAAGAGATAAGGGAAAGAAGGACAAATTTTGTATGTATGTATATACAGGAGAGTTAACATAGTTGAACTACTGTCTTCTATTTCTTTGCTGAAAGAAATAGTTTTTGATTCCTTTATTGGTCATTATTGCATGTCTCTGTTTTCCTGAGAAACCACTTTAAAGATATCAATATGTAATCGAACAAGCATTGTTAATTTCCTACCACTTTGTTTATAACTCTGTATTGTTTGTATTGTTCTTTTGCTAATTTGTAAATGGTTGTCTGTTTGTTAATGTTTTCCTTCTTTTATTTTTAAAATAATAAAAAAAGACAAATTGTTAGGTCATGAGAAGTAATCTTTAATTATATCACTTAAAATATCTCAAAAAGCCTTTGGAAAAAATATTTAGTCACTATGAGTTGGACAAGGGGACCAGAAGGTCCTATCTGGTGGTGGGCTACTACTAAATCATCCTATCCAAAAAGTATGATGTTGAGTTTTATTGCTATATATTTTCAGAGCTCTTCTTCTTCCATCTGGAAATGTCACAATTCTTCCAGAAATCAGAGTGAATGGCCTGAAGCAATCAGTCTATCATGGCAGAATTTGTACTCCCTGGTCTACCTCGCTCTTCAGAACTTCAAATCTTTTACTTCCTATTCTTTTCCATAGTCTATGCAGCCACTGTGCTGGGGAACCTCTTCATAGTGCTCACCATCATGTTAGAACCTCGACTTTATTCTCCTGTGTACTTTTTGTTGGGTAATCTCTCCTTCACTGACATGTCCCTGGCCTCATTTGCTACCCTCAAAATGATCACAGACTTCCTCAGTGAGCATAAAATCATCTCTTTTGAAGGCTGCATAGCCCAGATATTCTTCCTACATCTCTTAGGAGGTGCTGAGATTGTTCTGCTGATCTCCATGTCCTTTGATAGGTATGTGGCTATATGTAAGCCTCTACATTACTTAACCATCATGAGCAGGAGGACATGCATTGGGCTTATGATACTTTCCTGGGTTGTAGGCACCTTTCATGCTCTGAGTTAGTTAGCGTTTACTGTGAACCTGCCTTTCTGTAGACCCAATGAAGTAGATAGCTTCTTTTGTGATCTCCCTTTGGTAATTAAACTCACATGTACAGACACATACATTTTAGGGGTGTTCATGATCTTCACCAGTGGTATGATTGCCCTGGTGTGCTTCATCCTCCTGGTGATCTCCTACATGGCCATTCTGGTCACTGTCTGGCAGCGTTCCTCCAGAGGCTCATCCAAAGCTCTTTCCATATGCAGTGTCCACTTCACTGTTGTGACTTTCTTCTTTGACCCATGCATTTTCATCTATGTGTGGCCTTTCACAAACTTCCCAATAGACAAAGCACTCTCAGTATTTTATACCATATTTACCCCCCTCTTGAATCCAGTTATCTATACTCTTACAAATAAAGATGTCAAGGATTCTATGAGGAAATTAAGCAGCTGTATCTTTAAATCTAGGAAAACATAACGCATCTTGATTTTCCTCATTTGAAAAAGAAATACTTGTTCAACATTTATTGTTCTCATTCAGCTGGTGAACACTGTGACTCCATTGCATTAAATCAATCAGTTCCTGGCAAATTATAATTAACTCAGCAGCCAATGAATTCTGGTCATGTGAGTTCTTCGTCGTGCAATGCAAGGTTTACTAAAGGACATTAACTCATACTCAACATTTTGGTTTTCAAGGACCCACATTTTAGAGTGCTCAATTTTTGTCAGGTCTAAATATATGAGCATTCTCTCCCTTGAAGTGCTTACATATTTTAAGAAAGAGTGAACTCTCTCTCAGCTCCTCACAACAGTCACTAAGAAAACAGGCACATGTGGAAGTGTCAGCACTTGCTGCAGCATCTGGTGCACTAGAGCAGCAATAACGTCTTTATGGTCTGTGCTGACTCGTGATTGTGTAACTGCAACATCAGAAAGCAATGGAGGGTCCTTGGTAATTAAGAGTATTTGCTACCTGACATGTTCATAACTCACTTTTGATAAGAATAAGAATGAATCTTCTCTATCCTCAGTCTCTACATTCCCAAGAGAACATTCTGTAGCTTGCAAAAAATATAGTAAACTCCAAGAAAATTCTTATTGCCTTACATATTAAATAGTCAAAGGACCCTCCACTTATGAACAACACATCTCATCTACAACCCTGTCCTGTAAAAGAAGAAACTAAGACCCAACATCCAAGGGTATAGTAGCTTTTCTGTGGTTGTGCAGTTTAGAGGCAGCATCCAAGTTATTCACTTGCACATTTGTTTTGGTACAGTAGTGCTTACTGTATCATTTTGTATTCAAAGCCACTATGTAAATAGTGGGCTTCTAAAAAATATGAGCTATTTTCTCCTGGCTAAACATAGTATTTGATGTAGGGATCCAGAGATACAGTAATTCTTTAATATATTTGATGTAGCTAATAACTGGAGACTTTAGAAAACAGAAATCACCTAGTAAAACCTATTTCTTTTACAGATGATGGAACTGAGAAACAGGGAATAATATTACATTCCCCAGTTCACAGAGCTATTTGAGAAGAGTCTAGCCTATAAAGTTCATATTCCTCCCTCTATCTGTCTCTCTCTCCTCTCATCTCTGTATCTTTCTTTCTCTCCCTTATCATTTCCTCCATTCTCTCTTCTTCCTCTCCTGCCTCCTGCCTCCATCCATCTCTATTTATACGTATCTCCTTCTCTATCTTGACCTCTGCCTCCATCTGTCTTGAGCTTGGGCCAGGTTATCTTCAAGAAAACTTTGGTCATTGTTTTTCTGCATGTAAAACAATGTTTATTCCATAAAACTGAAATACTGTAATTCTTAAAAATTAGGTAACTGTTTGGTATTGTCAAATTTTGCATATTATTTTCTGTACTATTGCCCTAGCCTGAATGCAGATAAAGACTCATAAATTTTAAGGACCCAAATAGATCAATAAGTAAATAAATATATGGGCTAATGGATAATAAATAAATGGATGGGTGGCTATATATAGATATACATATATATGATATAAGTAAGTTATATGTAGAAAACAAATAAATAATTTAGTTATCATAAAGAAATTATTATGCAGCATATCATATTGATTCAAAAGTCTGTCTGAATATTGAACCTATAGCTAGTGTAAATTTGCAACTGTATGATTTGTTTAAAATTGCTGGAAATTGCTGTCAGGTTTGATAGTTTAAAAGCTATAATATTAAATGCATTTCTTATGATAGGGTAAATCTAATTCAATTTATGAATATGTTTAATGGGTCACTGGAGAGATCAACCATTCAATTGATGCTAATAAAAATAATAACATTATTTATATGAATGTCTGAATATTATAATGTCCTTCACTTCTTAATCTTGTTAAGATTAAGTGTCTCAGTTGGATTGTTATTTTTCATTCTAATCAAAAACATTTTATTAGCTGATCAGGCTAATGAATGCTGTATTGTTTTCTACCTCAGGCTAGCTAAGAATTTTGTACACCTGTTTAACATCCTAATCTACACACTGCTAGAATTATAAACAAATAAATATTATGGGTTTTGTGATATCATAATGTGCATGCCTCAAACATAAGGCCATTGTTTTAAGCTTTACAAATACAGGAAACATGCCACCTAAGAAATTAATCCCCAAAACAAGGTCTGGAAAGGTGGCATAAGCACAAACCTAAGAAAATCTGAGTGAGGGTGAGTCCCAGCCCCTGTCCTAATCTCTCCAGTGATGTTGCCTTCTTCCTGCCTCATGTTTCTCCGTGGATGACCACTTTGCTGACGATGCCCTCTAGTATTCCATCATGATGCCACAGAGGAGCAACATACACTGAGTGCCAGCAATTCATTGTAAAAGGTGGACAACAGAAGATTTGCCTAATTTCATCATGCTATACTTTCACTTTCAAGAGCATTTCCTGAATCAAAATTGTCTATATTGTAGTTAAATAATTTGATATCTTTTTTCACTTTTCTTTTATAATTTACTAGATTTTTCTGTTTTCCATTTACCTTTAAACTATTTTACAAGTTGATATTTAATATGGTCTAGTGAAATCAGACTTAAATGTAGACAGATGTAAAAAAATCTAATAAATATTATTTCAAAAATTCCATAGAGCCAGACATAGTGGCAACGGCTATAATCCCAGCACTTGGGAGGCTGAGACAGGATTGTTGTGAGTTCAAGGCCAGCCTGGGCTACACAGTGAGTTCAAGACCAGATTGAACAGCATAGTGAGACCCTGTCTCACAAAGACTAAAAAAAAAAAAAAATTGAAAATTTCAATACATACACATGCAAAAATGAGATTTGTCTCATTCACTGAATCAACACCAAAGTACATTTGTGGAATGGAAGTCCCTCTGTGTTATTGTTCTTCCCACAGCAAATACACTGCTCCTCTGAAAGAACTTCTTTTCCTTATTCACCTTGAAGCTAACAAGACAGTCAACAAAGTGATCTGATATGTGCTGGGAGTTATGGAACTACTTTGTAGAAAACTTGTCCAATAAAGAATTTATTTAGAATACCTTTTTTCTGTTTATTTATTACTTTTTCTTCTAGGTATCTAGAAAATGATCACACAGCTTTTGTTTCCAGAATTTCAATGGTTTTAAGACTAAGACAAATATGGTTTTGTCATACCACTTCTCAAGGTTTAAACTAAGCCCCACCTATTCAAAGGAAGTTTCTTCAGTTATTTTACTGATCTCTCTGAACATTTTTCAAAGCTAATAAACAGCTAAGTCTGTGGCCATTGATTTTGTAATGAGTAAGCATTTTGAGACCAGATTTTGGCCTTATTTGATTTTGTTGTTTTTTAATTGTTGTTCATTTGGTGATTAGTTCTGATTTGTTCTTTTTGGTATTTAGTATCTGTCACAGTACATGAGGCATGATGACTTGTGCATCATGTGACAGTGACTTGTTGCACATTTTGAAAAAATTATCTTTTTAAAAATAAGTGTTCTTTCATAATGTCCTTACTTGTAGCCCACGATTCGATGACTATAGAGTGTCATAGTAATCACAGAAGTGCTAAGTGGAGAGAACTTCAGAGACAGTCAAATGTTCCTGTGAGATGCCACAAGTAACTATGGTGGCTAGTTCACTAGATCATCTCTATGGTCTTTTCAAGTTCTAATCTATTTGATATGACTTCCAATTTCCAGTTCTTTTTGTTCTATTGTCATTCAAGCATAAAAGCTCTAGGAGGGAACTTGAATCAAGGATCATCCATCAATGGAACATAAGGCATGTAAATGGGAAGATGGTGGTGAGGAGGGCAGGAAAAAGGAAGCTAATGCGAGCTCCACTATCGCAGTGTATGAGAGACCATGCAAACTGATGGACTCACACCTTGGATCTGTGCTTCTCAGAGACCCCATCACCACATCTTTTCCTACCAGCCTTCTATAGGAACAAAAAAACACACAGATATTTTCTACCTTTTTCTATGCTTTCAATGTTAAACGCAGCCCACAACTCCTTGCTTTCTAGCACAGATCAAACCTACCCAGATATATTTATATATCCTGTGTCATGGAGTGAAGTGTGTTAAGTAGAATTCAAGCAGATTCTATCATCTATGAAATCAGGAAATGAAACTCTGGTTTCATATCCCTCAAATGATCCTGGAAACTCACAAGATCAATCAGCCCTACACCTCATCAGTGACCCCAAACTTTGTGAGGAAATGCTCTGAGAAGCTACTCACAAGGCAAAAGAACAAATTGCTCCAGATGTAAATTGATCTATATTAATATTAACATTTGATTAAGGTTTGATGTACATGATGTTCTGCTAGAAATTCTTAATCAGTTTCATAGTAATATCATATTTTAATTAATTAAATGTGTATTATTCATTTTTTTATTAAAAACAGTTTATAATTGATATCTTTGGGAAACTAGATTAATGCTTTTACCTTTTTATCCCCTATACAAAAATGGTTCAACAGCATCCAACCCTCCATACTGCTTCAAAGACCAGGCGCAAGGGAAACATTTAACACTTATTGACTTTTTCCCTATTTCTTGATTTCTCTAAATTACCCATTTGTAATACTTATTTTCTTAGGGTTGCCATTGACATTATGTTTTAGCCTAATTTTATTGGTACAGTTGTAGGTGCTAGAAAGGAAATAGCCCATAGTTTGTCCAGAAATGTTCAGTGAATGGATTCTTCTTAAAGTCAAAGTTTAAAGTTGATAAAAGTTGAAAAATATTTAGTTTCAGAAAAATGAGATGGTATGTTCAGCCACAATTGAAACCAGAATGATTGCTGAAGAATTTAAAATTCTTTCATCACATATCCTCAAGAGGGTAAATTTGTTAAGAAATTAGTTTATTGGTTTTATTTTCATTTTTAAAATTTTCAATAATTTTATGAAGCATATTTCCTTATGAGCACCATTTTGGACATGCAGAAATTGACAAACAGTTTAAGTGATTTCACTAACATTATACCACTAATAAATGGTGGAGCCAGAATTTAATCCAAGCTTTTCCTCCTCCCTCCCTCCTTCCTTCTTTTTGCGTTTTATAATTGCAATACATTTTAAAAAGTAATATGTTCCCATCTTTCAAGAATCATTGGTAGATATTTTGAATCAATCCAGTATATCAAGACAGCCATGAGGGAGCAACAAGACACTCGCAAAAAAGCATTTCCAGAACTGCTTCAGACAGTGACAAGAACAATGTCTTTAAACCACTAGGGAGTATTTGAGGGACATTAATGGTAATGTGTCTTTTTTATTAATTTTTTTGGTACATATTAGATATACATAATAATTGCATTCATTAGGAGGGGAAAAAGCAATGTGTCTTTTACTGCAATAAAATATTTAAATTTTAAGCATTCATTGTTTATTATCACACCTTGTATCATATGTAGCTTGTGTAAAGGCCCCACTAGTGCAGAAACTGGCACACTGAAAGAAAGAATGTTAGTGTTCAAGGGAAAGAGGAATGCGAAAGAGAATCAAGGAGATGAGCAGGCCCCACACTGCAACGATTTGTTATGGAGCATTCCAGGAGCCCACTGGTATTGTTCCTGTGATTCACAGGACAATACCTGTTATGCTATAAACTTTTAGTTACTAACTTTTGAGAGTAAAGATAAACTATCCTCAGGAATAGTGAAGAACGTGAAAACAAATCAGTATACTTCATCTTTGGAGGGGCAAGCACAGAGCAATGTCTGGCTGCCCTTGGGTCCTGGATGTGTAAAAGCTTGGGGAATAGCTAACCTGATGTGCATATTGATGCAGAAACCCTAACCAGCCTCACAAGTGAAGCTGTGAGGTGCCTTTCAGGGCTTCATTTTTCCCCTAGGAATAGGCTCTTCTGCCAAGAAGTCCCAGGTAAAGAATAGACAGTTATTCTCAGCTTCAGAGACGTATTCACCAGATAAATATGATTCGATTCTATGATGTTAAGTTCTAATTTGAACAATTTCCTGAGTAGTACTTTTTACCACATTTCAAAAGAATTCTTTTGTATTTTCAGAAATGTAGATTTTTTGTTGGTCTTCTAAAGACAGGGTTTTGCTAAGCAATTTGGGCTGGTCTTGAACTCACTCCTTGCCCAGGTTGGCCTGGAACTTGCAGTGATCCTCCTGACTCAGCCTCCTAAGTGCTGGGACTGCAGGCATCACCACCATGCCCACCAACATTCTTTCCCTTACAGTGGAAACTTGTTTAAAATAATGGACTTTGAAGAGATGAGAAGTCGACATTCATTTCCCAGTAAATGTTACATCATTAAAAACTTAAAGGATTTTATTACTACTTTTAAACAGGTAAAAGTTGAGAAACAAAATGCCTGAATAATACTTCAAGCTTTTTAACCCAGTTTTCTTTATTTTTAAGCATTATTGTGATAAAATGGGATATTGACTTATCAAACACAGTATACACTGTTTTCCCTTTTCATGTAATCTTAGAATAAATTTCTATTTAAAATAAGAAACATCCAAAATATAATACTTCATTCAAAAAAATACAAGTATATAAAGGACAAGATAAACTACAGAAATCACCAAAGGCAATTAATTTTGGAATGGATGCAAAATTAGTTAAATTGACAAATTTTACTATAACATAAAACCATACCATTTAAGCTCAAGTAAAAACCTCTATTTTGATGCTTGTACCTGCAATAATATTTATTTAACAAATCGTAACCACACATTGTTAAATATGTTATGCATACTTTTGTTTAATTTTCACATCACTAATAGTAATTAACTACTATTATTACATATTGTGGGTAAATAAACTATTGCTTTTTTCCATTGCTCAGGTTTGCATAATAAAGAGGTGGGATTTAATTCAGACCTATGAGGAACTGCTCCTTGCTAATTGCTGGATAAATATTCCTCCAAAATGTAAAAACAGGTTGATCTCTACTACCTATAGAAGGTTGAAACAAAGCAGGTGTTCAACAAACCACTGAAAGAAAGATTGACATTTCAGAAACAGGATTTCAAGTGCAAAAACAAGATAGTAACTTTTGCTAAAGAGTGGAAAGGACACAGCAGTACATTTCTACCTTTACATTTTTGCATTTATTTGAGTGATGAGGCAACAAGGATAATGACTTGGTTAAAATGAATGAAGCTTCAAATTAAAAGAGTGGTTGTACACCTAGCTCCAACATTACATTTCTTCATAAACTTCTGCAAACTATTCACTTTCAGATGATAAATATTTGGTGAGTAGATTGTTAGGGTTGAGGTGTGTGGAGACCCTAAAAGTCCATGATAAATGTAAGAAACTTTTAATGCTGTTTCTTTTTTTTGAAAGGTAAAGGCTTGACTTTTTTGTGTTTTACTCAGGAGACTCACATCTGAACTCTTGGTGACAGATTACTCCCAGAGCTCTCTTCACACCATCAGTCATCTCGGAGAAACAGAGTCTATCACTGCTGCAAAACATCAGATTATCCAACTGAATTTTGTCCCTTCCCATATTAGTAATGGAAAATGAAAAAATCCTACTTGTTTTTCTGTCATATGTCTTATGACAACATCTTAGAGACATCCCAGAACTGGAATGTCAAATTTACATGCTAATAGCTTGCCCAGATTAAAGTTGTTTGTCGAAGGCATACTATTTTAAAATAAGACATATTTGACGTAGTAGTCTAAGGGAAAGGGAAATGACATCTTTTAGAATCCATTCTGTTTTCTTTCCAAAGAAATAGTCACCACAACCATTTAGGCTACCTTTTACCACCTTCATATCAGAAATGAGAAATGTATAAAGAGGTACAGTGAATCCCCATATAAAACACAACTGAGAAATAAAAGACACAAGATTTAATTGCAAGAGTCATGTTAGTCCAGACTACAGCAATGTTCATTGCCCTGGATGTTGTGGATTAACTTTCCCCAAATCTAAATATTGGTTATGTAACTTCTTCTTCACTGCTGCCTTTACTTCCTGGTTTCTCAAAGTATAAATAAGTGGATTCAGAAAAGGAGTAAAGATGGTGTAAAAAACAGAAAGAATTTTGTCCACCAGGAAGCTTGTGAAAGGCCACATATAAATGAATATGCAAGGCCCAAAGAACATTAGCACAACTATGAAATGTGAAGTACAGGTAGAAAGAGCTTTAGAAGAACCTGTGGAGGAATGGCCCCTGATAGTGACAAGAACAATGATGTAAGAAGTGAGCAAAAGCAGAAAGCTTAAAAGAGCAATCACACCACTTGTGGAGATCATGAAGACTCCAAGAATGTACATGTCTATACAAGCCAATTTCATGACCAAAGGAAGGTCACAGAAGAAACTATCTATAACATTAGGACCACAGAAGGGCAAATAGAGGGTAAAAGCTAACTGGCTTATTGTATGCAGGAAACCCACTGTCCAAGAAGTTACCACAAGCCCAATGCACATGTTCTGGCTCATAATTTTTGAGTAATGGAGAGGTTTACATATGGCAGTATACCTGTCAAAAGACATGGAGATCAGCAGTACAATCTCAGTCCCAGTGAAGAGGTGCAAAAAGAAGATCTGAGAAATGCATCCCTCAAAGGAGATAGTCTTGTGCTGAGCAAAAAGGTCCATGATCATCTTTGGTGTGGCAAAGGAAGACAGGCACATATCGATCAGAGACAGGTTGCTTATCAGGAAGTACATGGGGGAGTGGAGGTTTGAGGTGGACAGGACAGTGAGCAAAATCAAGCAGTTTCCAAACATGGTCATTAAATAGAACATGGAAAATATAACAAAGAAGAATATCTGGAGCTCAAAGGAATCAGTAAGTCCAAGTAACACAAACTCAGATATGCTGGAATGGTTGAATCTCTCCATTGATCTTCAGAATTTGCTGTATAATCTTAAAAAAAAAAATTAAACAGTGCAATCATGTGATATTTCTACAGCTATATGTGATGGGACTTTATGCTATCACAATAATTTGCTAGAGCACTAGTTATAACTAGAAATCATTTAAAACCCTTACTGTAAAGATTTTTGTTTTTGCAAAAACTTAGATAACATTTGAGAAAGACACTCTTGGTTTTGCCAGCACCTGTACACACAGAGCTATGCTCATCACAGCCCCACACATAATACATGTATCTAAACACACCTGAGTTACTTAATATGTCTGTGTAGATTACATTAAGTTCATGGGGTATGGAAATGAGACATATAAATAACAATAAAAGGTTTCCAATCTCAAAAGTTTCTCTCAGGCAAACAAATCAGTTATACTGAGTCAACTATTGTTGAACAGTGGATTTAATTCACACTAATACCATCATTTCCAAAGATCCACTTAATATTCTTTGAGGCTGATAATTCTGAAGTCCAAAAGGCATATTTGTAACATTCTCAACTCATTATCAGTTGAGTTATTCTCAATTTTTGTTATTTTATAATCTCAGAAATGATTAAATAAAATGGACCATTGTCCAAAATATTAAAAGTCAATGCACTAACAGTTAGTTACTATTGATATTAACATGAATAGCAAAGAATGATGTCATTATAATAAATTCAAAGATTGATCAAGTGGAAAGAAAATCAAGAAGTTAGCTCTGTTGCTTCCATCTCCTCCATTTCTCTTCCATTCCTCCACTGTGGCAAATTTTACTTACAGTCATGTTAGGAATGAAAGCTAATGAAGTAGAAAAATTGTGCAGAATGAAATGTCTTGGACATGGATTATATGCTCTAAATTACTGTTTACCTCATTTTTCCATGCCTAATTCTGCGACTCAAAACGTGAATTTTAAAAATTACGTTGAATAGTATTTTTCATTTAAGTGATCTCATGTTTTCCCGGGTAGAAAAAAGTTTTGTTACATCCTCAATTTTGCACATATCCAAGCTGTTTTGCAATCTTGATAAATGCTTTTAAAAGGTACCAGAAAATGTTCCATAGAGTTAACAGAACATTGCTTGTAAATAATTCAGCAGATTTGTAATATATTTTTATATTATGAAATATGCTGTAGATGTTTTTCTAGAGACATGAAAGTTAAATGTATATATTATGGTAGAAATAATATTGAAGGATATTGTAATTCACTAGTGCTGCCAGCGGAATTGTTAACAAAGCACCTTCTTTAACAGTAAATGTCTTTTGCAGACCTAAGGGACTATGTACTACTGTTAATATCTATAAGAATAAAACATATTGAACATCCTTCCAGAAAATCTTTGAGGGAGGACCTATATCCATAATAGAATTATAGCACTCATTTCTTTTGTTTTGTTTTGTTTTTTTGTTTTTTGGTTTTTTGGTTTTTCTCCGGTACTGGGAACCGAACTCAAGACCTTGCGCTTGCCAGGCAGGCGCTTTGCCGCTGAGCTAAATCCCCAGCCCAGCACTCATTTCTGATAGTGACCATGAAGTCAATGTTTTCCTTATTGTCAGAAGGTTGTATTGTAAAGTATGTTGTTATATGCAGTCAGACTGCACAGAATACTCCTGATGGAGGAGTCTTCACTTTACTACAATGATATAAAACCAGCAGTTTTTACACTAAATTTTTAAAATTAATAGTAGACAAAAATATAGAATTAAACCTTTGCTTCCAAAATAGGAAACAGCCCATGATGCATAAATCATTTATTTGCTTTAAAAACTGATAAACTTTGCTTGAGTATGTTTTCTAATGAAAACAAAGCAAATCACATTTAGCTTCAAATTGTAACAGTTCAATTAAATTTTAAAATGGCACCTGAATATATACATCCAACATTTTCTTTAGAGGCACAGTGGATACATTAGTTTTTTCATTGTGTAGCAATGCTGAGATGTCAAAGCCAAATTTCATGGTTATTGATTAGCTTCAGAATACTCAGTCATTCACAATCCTTTTTGCTGCTTCACAGACTTTGGTTTGATACTATCAGCACACCAAAAAGCATATGGAATTAAAATAAGCTAATTTTATAACTCGTATGTAAGCACACATTCAATTGTGACTGGAAAATAAGTGCAAATGTTTTCATTTCTATTGTTCATTTATTGATATCTACTCATCTGTAGTGTTCTTGCTACGATCTATATCCTTTCTACTCCCAAATACGACGTCTGTGATATGATGCCTGAAATGACCTCTTACTCTTAGTCCATGTGTAGTCTAGCACTGGACAACCTACAGCCTACTCATGTAGCCCACTCACTTACCTAGTGTCTGTGGCTGCTTCTCCCTGTACCCGGGGAAGCGAGTGGCAAGACCTCCAGGCCTGCAAGCCTGAACGATTTACTCTCTGGTCTTTCAGAAAAGTTGGCTGATGCCTTGTGAGGTGATAAACTTTTGGAAGAACAAACTTAAACCTTGGATTTTCCATCTTGGATTTTATTACAATAGTGTTGATTTGGGTAATAAGACAGTGCATTCAATTTCAGTGAAATCTGTTTAATATTTTACAGCAAATGTTGCCATATTAGACACCTGCAACAAATGATGTTTTGGGGGAACTTTTACATTGGATTTGTTAATAGCTAACCCATCATTTAACCATTTGTATTTTTGTATTTTGTTTTACAAAGTAGAAGCAAATGAAATTTTGTATATCAATTATGTTTAAACCATAAGGCACATCTGCCTTATTTAAAAACATTTTTAAATAGAAAATATTGTAAAATTTAAAGTTGTTTATTTTTCCAATAAACATTTCAGTACATAACTTTTCCCTAAAGTGACCACACATTACTTTTGAATTTCAGATGAAAGGAAACTAAGATGGACAGTAATTACACATAATTTCAGATTTGCTTTATTCATTAGAAGTATTAATAATTGTGTCAGCACACCCTTGGCTATAAGACTTTTTTCTCTTCCACATATTAATAAAATGTTTAAATATGCATTTACTCTCAAAAGTACAGAATTTACCAGTTATTTAAAGCAAAAAAAAAATGTACCAGAGAACAACATTCTAGAATTCATAAAAGAGAATTATTACCCAGTAGTTAAGAATGCTTGAAATCATCTTGACTTTGACTGTATCTCCACACAAGAAAATATTTTATTTAGCTGTAATATAGAAATTTAGAAAAAGATTATATGCTATCAAAAGAATTTCACATTTTTTGAAATTATTTTTCATATCAAAATGATATGAGTTCCTTTCACATTAAATACACTAAAAATTCTCATATTTACACATTTGACTATATTCCTTATTTTCTGGTGATAATTTCATTATTACTGGAAACTATTTTTATACCAGTGTAATTGAATAAACATTTGTCAGGTTTTTTGTTTTATTTTTTTCATTTCTGAAAGGCAGATTTAATCTCTAAAGGAACCATTAACCTTTATGTATTGCTGTTCAGTATACATTTTGTTTCTGCACCATTACTTTAATATAATTATTAAATAAATACTATCA